GGAGTACGAGGGGGAGAGGGGGGAGAGAGACCAGGAAGAGCTGTATATACTGTTGTATTATCATTAGTAGAATTGTTTATTGTCGTATGATTTAATTGTTGTATTCACGCTCTGTCAGACTGGTTCTTTTAAGGTTACTGTTATTTACAATAACAGCAGCAACACTGGCAATGCCAATTAATATTAACAATAATAATAATGATAGACACTAATAATATGCCTTGTGATGACAAAGATGGGAAGGGAAATACTGCAGACTAACATGAAGCATCACCTTCCAGTGAAACACGCAGAACGCAGGAGCATACAGTCTCAAAAACCAGCAATTAGACCGATCCGCTGGGACAAGCAGCGGGGCTATCAGGGAAACCTTCAGCAACAAACAGGACAGTAAGTGCTTTTTACAGCTTTCACACACATCAGCAGCTGTAAACATTTCACGTGGGGTTTATAAGGATTTATTCTGACAAAACTGAAGGTTATTGTTTATTGTCGTATGATTTATTTAGTTAAATACACATCTGTTTGCAGATATACAATTCTTCAGTTTCCAGGTTTTGAATTCATTAATTGGGGATTTTAACGCTCAACTGAAATTGTTATATTTTGTATTTTAAAATTATCAACATTATAATCAAGATAATTTCTTCCCATATTGCCTCAATCATATCATGTGCATAAAATTACACTTAATAGACAACACTTAATTCAAGTGGCAGTGATTCTTAGCAGCATATGTGGCTCCATCATTTATCACCTACAACACTACAGAACATAACAGAACAGAGTTAGGTCACCTGAAACATCCTATTGGATCAATGGCAGCTGCTTGAGGACCCCAAATATACACACAGACACACACAGAGACACACACAGAGACACACACAGAGACACACACACACACACACACACACACACACACACACACACACACACACACACACACACACACACACACACACACACACACACACACAAACACACAGAAATCGCTTTGGAGCTGGTGACATGGGTCAGTGCTTGTGGGGAAAACAAAGCTCAAGTGAAGCGAGAGCAGAGGGCTCAGTCACGAACGTGGCGTCACTCCGTGCTGATCAGTGTAGACATTTAGAGGCAAGCCGCCGCTGCACATATATGCACTCCGCAGAGCAAACGACAGCCACAAAAAGGACAGTATTAAAAGAGAAGGTGATGGTTGTAATTAATGGAAAAAGGTCAAATGAAGTAAGATATATAATTAAAGTTTTATTCCATTCTAAATTTTGACCTGAATATTAAACATATTTATGTCTCTTCCTACCTTCCAGATTAAATGAGTTAACTAGAACATAACAACGGAGTCAGGTTTTACTGCAGCCATAAGACCTTACTGATATGTGATATAGTGGGAGGTCAAGGGCCTGCGCTAAATGAGAGGTTGTAAGTAAAAGCAACTTCAAACTGGTGACAACCCAGAGGTCAAGACACAATCAAAGGATGAGACACTAAAACGGTGCCCAAGAGAACTACATGCCCTTTAAAGGGGAAGAAAACTGCCAACATCCATCTGTGTGCATTTCACTATCTTCCCTTCATCTCCGCACTCTGCTCTTTCATTTTGACTATGACTGCCCCCCTTTTAAAATAAATAAATAAATAAACAAACCAGCATTCCTCCCCCCTCCCCGAGGCTGGGCAGTCCATGCAGGAAGGTAAACATGTCCACTGTGGTGAGCTCAGACCACGCGGATGCTTCGCTCCAGGTAACAGTCGTCCTCCACGGCTCTGCGCCCACCAGCAACATCTCGGCGTTCACTAGCGGTGAAGAGTAGCCTATGTCTGAACAAATTTCCGCTTCAGTGCCAAACCCTCCCTCCTCAAGCAAGGACATCCGTGGATTTGATGGGAGGTTGATTCAAATGGAGGTCAACAGTTTGACCTCTACCTACAGTACCTGGCTGATGGCTTACACTCTGTCTGCAGAGTATCATCTTTCTGATTTTTGAAGTGTTTTTTTTTTGTAAAGAAGGATGGCTCTTAAAATGGCTGGAATGCATGTTGAAGGCTTAGTGGGTGTTCAGACCAAAAACAGCCCTGTGTTAAAATAATGCAAGGGGGCTGGCGTTGGTGGGGGCATGTTGCTTCAGGTGTCAGTGAGATGATGTATGATTGAAGAGGTTCAGTTTAACTAACAGATACAAGACTCTGAACCCTTGTCAGACAGCACAACACTATACACTGGTTAACGATACTACAGTATATCCAAGTATAAACACAAAAGGACACATTCATGGGAAATGAAAAGATGGTATAATAATACAAATACAAAAGACAAAACAAGGCGCCACAACTGGTAGAAAGAGAGAGAGGGACCAGCAGCTAAGAGCAGGTGGAGATGGTGTTGATATGGATGTTTAGTTTATTTTAGTTTCATTTAGACCAAAACTCCCTGTCCACAATTCATGTGTGTTACAGTTCAGTTATCAGTGTTCAGTTATTGTGTTACTTAATAGTTGTTTAAGCCTATTCCTCTCCAGACATGTTTTCAGTTATTTCAGTTTTACGTTAAAATCCTCTGCTATGATTAATATTTTGATTACCATGATTTTCCACATAAAAAGTGAAAAAAATAAAAAATAAAAAATAAAAAACTAGGGCTGGAAGCTCATCTACTCTTACTTCCTCACTGAGAAATTCTGGACCCACCACCACTGCTTACACCAGGTGGACAGGTGAAAGAGCAGAGAGCATCAAGATCTTGAGAGGAGGAAACATCAGAGAGACTCAGCCACATGTTTGAGCCTCAGTCAGACCCAGACTCAGACGAGCAGTCTGTTGAGACCAGAATCAGAGACTAGAAGATGGATCAGAGCGGTTAGCGCAGTTAGCATCTTTTATTTGTTTATCTTGTTTGTTAGCTTGTAACTGGCAGTGGCTGACACAGTGTTAGTGGTTGTGCTAATGTAAACTCTGGCTCTCTGTACTGACAAAGTTTCCGGTTTATTTAGCCCCGCCCCCTGTCTCTGCAAGTTGACAGGATTGGTTCCTGGCTGTCTGAATCTGTCGTGGTGTTGACAGCTTATTTCGCACATGATATGTCTTGTATTATATAAAACACATAACACCATATGGATGTTAAAAGGGTTAAAAACTTGATTTTCATCAGAGGGGTCTGCATCAGACATTTCCTGTCTTTGGTACAACCTCTATTGTAGCTCTTTAAATCCCATTTGCACTATGTTTAGGCCTGGTCTTCAGAAGCAGAGATATTTCCCAACAGAAGAAACGGTTGCAAATTGTGTGATTTAAGTAAATCCTCCCACCCTTAACATGTCTCCTCCTATTATTTGCGTGGTTCTCCCTTAAATGCATGTGCAGCTAGGAGAAAGACACACCTTGCGAACACTTGTGCATAGGTGACAGCTGAAAAAGAGGCACAAAAGCTGCAGCAAATCTGGCCCTGTGTAGCCGATATTTTCATGTTCACATATCATCTTCAGTTTAATAGACTTTTGCTTTTCAATGTTCCTTCACAGTGAATATATATATAGGGTATATCTGCCTGCTCAGTCAAGAAGTACTGTAGGAGTGAATTAACTGCACTTCAGCTGCTCTACAACAGCACATCTATGGAATTACTTGCAGTGAAGAAATACACAAAACCACTTGACTTGAAGCAGCATTCAAACCGACAGAACTAATTGCACGACAACTGTCAAACTGAAAATTCAGGTCATCGGTTTGGCGTACAGTACATTTGTGTTCTTAGAGTCCAGCCTATGTGCTGCATAATCCCGTTCCTCTGTAATGCGTAGGTGGACAAGGTGTGGGCTGATGTTCATTACTTTTCTCTCTGCAAGTCAATACTCTTCCTTAGTCTTCAAGTGCTCCCATGGTGATACTATGTATACCCTAGCTGCCAAATACAGCATAATACTGTGAGCGTATGTGTGCGTGTGCGTGTGCGTGTGTGTGTACATGTGAAGCAGAGAACATGATATGATTGGGGTGACAGGAATGTACATTCACATCCAAGATTTCGTCTCTAATAACATCACTAAATATTACAGAGTTCTTCTTAGACCACCACCCACTGGTTAAAGGTGTCAGTGTGTCTGCCTTGCTTTTGAAAACATTTGCATAGAAACCTCCAGCAAGTGACAGCATGCTTGTTTGAAAAAATGTCACCAGCAGTGCTCCCCTCAGGGCTGAGTCTCCAAACTTTCCTACCTCAAGAAATACACAGCAGGTAAAAAATAAAAAATAAAATTTGATCATGACCAGCGACAATTCGGGGCTGCTTTGACTTTGGATGAATCCACTCAAAGCCAGCAGAGAGGGACTAGTGTCAGGGCTCCAGGTCTGAGAGACATGGGGACAAAGGCTGATGTGAGGCTGATGATGGCTGCTGTTTCCCTTATGTTTACCATCATTTCCCTTCACAAACAGAGGCTAGCCCTGAAAATGCCAGAGAGCCAGGGCCTCCAGCGTGCAGGCAGTCAAAGATTGGGGGGGGGGGGGACTCGGAAATCAAAGAGACGGGGCAAATCGGCAATGCACTGATGAAGAGAACGACGAATAGGAGAGAGAGAGAGAGAGAGAGAGAGAGAGAGAGAGAGAGAGAGAGAGAGAGAGTGTTCGGGCTAAGCTGCCTCCAGACACCACGCGGCTCAGAGCAGATCGAGAGTGACGGCTTGCTGATTAGTCAACTCACAGCCCCCAAGACCGGAGTCTGCATACATGTGCACGTACGCACGCACGCACGCACACGCACACACACACACACACACACACACACACACACACACACACACACACACACTGCTGTTCATTTAAATAAACCCTACTGTTATCATTGCACACATACGAAACACATGGACACACATGCATGTAAACAAATGGACACTCATGATATCTCATGATATCTGAAGGAGGCACCTAATGACAATGTGTGGACATAATGTGAAGAAGGTGTGTACCATGAGTATGAGTGAAAATGTGTATGGGTCTGGTATGGTTACCTTGAGGAGGTAGACGGGGATGTTGCTGAAGTCCACAGGGAGTTTAAGAAGGAAACGGGCTGAAAACTCTCCTGTCTGCAGAACAAGAGGCAAAGGTAAAGTTTACCATATACAGGTTGTATAATTTCAAAATATAAAAATAAATAAATAAATAAAAAAAATAATGAATGCATGAAATGTTTAAAAATGTGTCTTCTCTTAAAATTATTATCACCAGCAATAAGGCTGAGTTTAACACCAACACCAAACAACAGTTTTTTGATGCCCAAGTTTGGGGAATATAAGTGCGATTTTTTTCTTATTTAATAAATTATGCAGGATTGCTCAATACATCCGTGCAGTAACTAAAATATATCTAAAGAAAATACATATTCTTAAGTTAGAAAAGTTTCTGGATTTAGATAAATAAAAGAAGAAGAAAATAGTAAGTATAGCCCACACATATGACCACACGTCTGCTGCAAACGTTTCACACATTTCCATGGTCTATGACACAGACACATTTCAGACAGCACCCCTGCCCGTACCCAACAAATGCAATAACATTCCCAGTAGAAACGTTTTTGAAGACAATATCATAACTTTCCTTGAACCACAGTAAGAGTTCATCTTGACAGTGACTTCTTGTTGCTCAAAACCAAACTTTACCACAGCTAACACCAACTTTATCAGCCAGAGCTTAGGAAATCTTGCCCCTTATTATCTGTATTATCTGTATTATCTGTAAAAGCTGTTGCGTTGTTTTGTAGGGGGGAGATCATAGGAAAAATGCAGTTGGTGAACTTTATTTCTTTTTTAAACAGGAGACATTACAGTTTTACAGCTAGCCCTTTAACCACTCAGCTATCAGGATGCTCCTCTGTCATTTTAAAGCTCCTAATTACTTAAAATAGCTAAAATAGCCTGGAATGCTTAATGTGCCACTGTGACATATTAATCAAAAATGCAATGCCAGTTATGCCATTACTTTAGCTAACTATCACTGTCATTACATTCATGATTAATTAGCAAAATACCTTTTGTGTCAACATATTATTAGTGTTCAAATACACATGATCTGACATGATGCAAACTCTGTATTTTGAGGCACTGGACAGTTGTCAATGTAATAGAGAACTGTTTTCTTGAATAATGTAAATTTATGATGTATGATTTTCCAAGATTGACTTTAAATGTGCAACCTGTCATGTAGGAATAAAACTGGGTTAAGTACTGTTTGTGGGATAGTGTCATTGTGTGCCCTTCACACACGCAAACAGATGCACAGATGACAACATGACGGCACAATGATGCGAAATTCATGTACGATGGGGCAGAGCTGTGACTGGTCAAATCCAACCAGGTGAAGTCAAACCTTTCTCATATCATTCCATCACATCTTTCTCTTTAACAATCAAATGTATTTATGTTTTCAACTCAAATCATAGGAATAACATGTGAACAGGGGGAAATTTTCCTTCAGGTATTTTTTTTTAATACCATCACATGACTCTTGGTTTGGTCAAATGTAGGACATCAGGTCCTTACCCAGCTGTTCTTGCGTCCGGCATAAATCTCCATGTTGCGGCCGTAGTTGGGATCCTCCAGCAGGCTGTCATACTCAAAGAGGAGCCTGGAGCTCTCGCGCAGACGCTGGCACTGGTAGTGGTGGTACTGCTGGATAAGCTCCTTCACCAGCTGGAGCAAACATTCAGGATTCCCTGCATCCCACTGGACCAAGTGCTGAGGAAGGCACCGGAGAAGAAGAAGCATAAGACAGACATTTGGCTTTTATTTTCAAAGGGTCAACATGTTAACGTGTAAAATCAATATACCATTATTATGTTTACAATAAGCAAATGATTTGGGAGGATTAAAAGTCTCATTTGGCATCTACTCCACTGTCTGTTGGGCAGATCTGAAAAGAAATCCTTGATCTTAGACACACAAAAAGATCAATATAATATTAAAAACCATGAGTGCTGTACTTTGAGCACAAACTGAATAAAGATTTCAAGATTTCAAATTTCTTCTAATGGCACCATCCTGACAGACACACTGGGGTTGAAAGTTTTTTGTTGTTGTAGATGACTACCCATTGTCTTGAGCACGGTCTTGTTCATTTCCAGTATTAATGAAAGGTACACAGCAGTGAAATATGCAGTTTGACTCCACTGACATACAAGAGATGATCAATCTGAACAACTTATTAAGATACATCAGGAAATTAATAAGCAGCAGTAGAACAATGGATAGGACACTGTGCTATTACCATTACCACTAAACATAATAGAGGAGAAAAAGAAGAAAGATTCTCAGCAATAGCCCAATCCTGACAAATGGTACTTCCCATTACCAGATCAGGAGGGAAGGGTTGTGCTAAAGGATGTCCTGTTGCCACAGAGTGATTTAAGTTGAAATGGAAAAGTACTGAACCTGACCTCTTCTATCTGAAACTCCTCTAGCCTCTGCTAACACACTGATTGTTAGCTAAAGATTTTTGATAAGTACACACGCACACACACACAAGTTGTTTTATATCATTTTATCATGGTGCTGAAATTTGAAAAAGCTGACACCCACTTCTGTATTTGCTAACATAACAATTACAACCATGTCAACTCGAAGCATTTCAGCTGATTTATTAGTGTACGTTGCATATCTAAATGGTCCAGAGTGCATACCGACTCTCCCTTTCACCGATTCAAGCCATCGCAAACAACACTGCAACAACCTCTCACAAGAGAGAGCAGATGCAACAAGACGTGACCAGACGTGACCTCTGGTGGTTTAGTTCTACCAAACTGAAGTTTTTCCTCCTGTCCACTGATGCATGAGGAATAAAATGCTTATAATTAACGCAGACACTACTGTGCGAAAAAGCACAGGATATTACGGGAAACATGTCTTGGTCTAATAAAGATAATAAATGGAGGGCTGAGCTCTTGAGAATGAATATTGCGAGAGTAAGACCAAAGCAAAGAAAACAAACATAAAACTGGCTTAATGAGTTTACTGCACTGTTTGGACTTTGGAATGACTCTTGCTTGTAAATCTATACAGGCTAAAAGGAGATTTATGCGCCCTTAAGGAAACAGCACTTTGAGGAGTTGGCATTTGTCATTTCTAGTTTTCACATCATCACCAACTTTTCACATCAAATTAGTATGATTCATGCATATGAAGTCATTTTGTTCATAAAGGTAAGATTAAATGTGCAACTGGGTAAACTTTTTTTCTCCCCTTTTTCCCCCGTGAGAGATTTAAATGAATATGATGAAGATGATGACGACAATATCTGAGATAAAATGGCTCAAAAGGGGCTTAGCTTTCTTTTGGGTATGACACAGGCCCCTGTGCAGCCCTTTAGCTCGGAATAGTGAAAGTGAATCTTTTCCCCATCTCATTCTGAAAGTGAAATACTCCTGGAAGACTCAAACTGTGAGTAGACAAACAACAAGCTGTGCAACCTGATGACATAACTGCAATGCCAAAGTAAATGTGTAACTACAGTTCATCATTGTTTCTCCCTGCCATGCTGCAGCACTAAAGCCAATTAAATGCAGGTCACCCTAAATGAAGAGAAAATCAGAATAGAGAGCCATTCTAATGTGTACTGAGTGGGTGGGAGGATTAATAGAGGCTGGAAATACTGTAATTATTAATACCCATCACATTGAGGTGTCAAAAGCAGGATGTCTTTGACTTGCGTTAGCTTGCCCCCCCCCCCCGACTGCAAGTCTGTCAGAGTGTCTATCTGTCTGTGTCTGTGGCAGCCCATATCAGCCCAATGGAGAAAGCTTCCATTGTTTTAGAGGAACCCACATCCCCCCTTGCCATAGAAGAAGCGAGGGGGGGTGGGGGGTGGGGTGGCAAGGGCAGGCTAAACAGAGACAGTGACCTCATCGTCCTGATCCACCAGTGGTTACCAGCAATGCCGGGATTCCCGAAACGAGGGGGCGATGCAAACAAGGATGGGCATTGTCCAAAGGAGGCAGTCAGGGCAGTGCCCCAGGGCAGGAGTGAGCTGAAACTGAGGAGAGACTGAGAAAGTGCTGTGTCAGGACTGTGACACAGAATATCAGTGAAGCTCTGCTGAGGACAAGGAGAGGCAGGGAGGAGGGATCAGAGGTGGGACAGGAGGAAGAAAAAAAAATATGTAGAGCGCAGGCAAGTAAGGCAGTGCCAAAGAAAACGGCACTGAGACTCTGCAGTTCTGCCTTCATTTGTGGGTAATAATGAAATGGTAAAGTACTTTAATAAAATAACTGAAGTGAGCTGCAGTACAAACTCTTTTGTGTTCCCTAAGACGACTGAAAAAGCACAGAAACCAGACAGATTCCTGTGTGTTAGGACAGGAGTGAACGAGAAACACTCCCTCAGTAATTACAGATGTCCTCAAGCTCAGTACTTAACCTCAGCTGCCTCCAGTGGAGCTCTTCACCAGCCAATGACAGAGGAGCTGAGCTTCTACTGGGCGTCTCCCAGGTGAAGCAGGGTGTTTCTGGAAAAGAGCTAGATTGACTTCTCCCAGTATAAATAAAGAGTAGTGTATGTATTTTAAGAAGGCAAAGGGAAGTGACCATGCTGCGACTTCCTAATTAGCACTACACACAAAGTACAGCTGAGGCTGATGGGAATGTCATTAGTTTTGCAGGTATTCGGTCATAAATTTCAGGCTGTACCACAGTGGTGGGCTGACGGACCAACCGACCAACAGCACCTTCCCCTAGGACCGTGCTGTTAGCATGTTACAGCCAATAACAAGACACCACACTGGTTCATCTTGCATTGTACAGAATGTTCTGACTTTGAGTTAACAAAGTAGTGCTCGAATGCTGCTGCAGTAAAGCATTGGTCGAACATTGAGGGAGAGAGAGTGAAAAGCACTGAGCCAAAAAAGCAATGTCCATGTGTTGCAATGTGTGTGTGTCTGTGCTTTTGTGTGTAGACATGTGAGTGTGTACAGACTCTTCACTGAATTGATTTTATACGCTCTGCTGAAGGCTGTGTGTGCCAAAACAAATCTATGTGTTTTTGTCATGAATAGGATAAGCCCTGCGGAAAATGTACAGATTTGATACATAAAAAAAAAAAACAAAATATAGTTGCAATCGAGGCTATTTGAGAGCTGAGATTAAACATTTGATGAAATGAAATGAACAAATAAAGCCATCTACATGCCCTCTAGATCATTCTGTATGGAGGGAACATCTTTCTTAGGGCTTTATCCACAGGGGGTAGATATCATAGCCCTCAACAATACTCAGTGGTTCAATCTGGACCTTATAATCCAATTATTTTGTCAAAACACACTGGCTAAACCTGTGTCAAATGATTAAGCCTAAACTTGGCTTATGATAAAACCTGTCACCTCTAATAAATAAACCACTGATACATTCCTTTTTTTGAGAAGAGGACGTATTTATAAGGGAAGCAATTTATAATCGTATTACCTTAAGATATTAGGATTTGATTCAATATCAGTGTTAAAAACTGCACATTAAAAATATATTGGATTAGCATTAGGATTTAGCATTTTGGGTATACATGTAGCAGTGTGCCCAAGTCAGTGTGAACAGTCAAAATAACACACTTGGTAGACATAAATATTAACGAACACACTGCCTTTTAAAATTTAAGGAAAAAAAAAAACCTTGCTCTTTCTACCTATTGATTCATTTACTCAAATTACACATTTTCCAATTAGGCAGAATGGCAGTGTGTGGTTTTGAGATTGAAAAAATTAAGAAAATGATTTGTTCTTTGAAGAAAATTAGGAAAATTAGTTCACTTAGAAACATGTAAAGGCAAATGAACTACAGGGAAAGTTTCCAAATTATGTAAAACAGGTAAAATGAAACATATTAAAAATTTCAAAAACAAGCAGCTGTTTAGCTAACTAGGCTCTTTCAATGAGATCTACTAACAGTTATTAACAGGATTAAGAGTCTACAGTCACTCTTGGGGTCCGTGAGGCTGCAATTAGGCTCAGCCGTGCTTTAAGCTAAATGCTAATGTCAGTATGCTAACATAATCACAATGATAATGCTAACAGGCTGATGTTTAGCAGGTAAAGCGTTTACCATATTCACCATCGTAGGTTGGTATGTTAACATGCTAACATTTGGTAATTAGCACCAAGTACAGCGAAGGCTGATGGGAATGTCATTAGTTTTTGCAGGTATTTGTTCATACATCAGAAATATTGGACATACAGAAATGTTGACTTGACGATGGTGCTAGATTAAAAGACTGAGGATCACCAATGTCTGTAGGCTTCATACTGTGAGGAATATGAATGTTGAATGAATGAACAAAATGTCACAGCAACTCATCTAGTGGTTGTTGAGATATTTCAGTCTGGACTAAAGTGGTGAATGGGGTGACCAACATAAAGACAGCAGTAGCTAATAGCTAATAGCTAATATAACCAACCAGGTAGTATTGGACGAATAAAAGGAAACAACCATAAAGACATTTTAGCTTCACAGTTATTCCTGTAAGATACAATTTCAATGAGTCTAACGTATTGTACATTTGTTGAGGATAAGGGAAGAACTCAACAGACACAGTGTTTTCCTTTAAGAACAAAATGTACACCTAAATTGGGCATCTTTGCACTGAATAGACCCAAGTTGACAGAATTATGTCTTCCTGTGCCATCCGTCTGTACCATCTTCGATCCAATATTTATCTTAGGCCAATGAGAGAGGGACTGGCATCTGAAAATGCAAGATAAT